GCATTAGTTCTGTATGTGTGCACACACGGGGAGGGGGGGGAAGAAGGGGGGGTATCTGTGTGGGGGACTCCCACAAGACACTTCATTTCCCCACAACTTCCAAGAGTGGAGGGAACCTACACTTGCAGTTCCAAGCTGTAGGGAACTGTGGAACTTGTAGTGTTACATTTGTGGTGTGCTCCCTCCATTCTGTTCCAACCAAGCCTGTGGGAATGAGACCTCCAGCCCTCAGGATTCCTCTTCCCACTGCAAATATGTAGGGCAAAGCTGTATAAAGTATGCCTGATAGATTTCCAGGGGGCAACCATAATCAGGAGAGCCCCTGGCACCATGATCATGCAGTAGACGTGTTGTTCCTGGGACCAGTCACAGTGAGAAGTCAAGTAGTGTCCATGAAGTGGTCCCTTTCCTCTGGCAAATCCCGAGATCCGCAGTTTTGAGAAGTCCAAACCCCACGTCATTGACATGTGTATGGAGGGAGAAGGGGGCAAATCCAGCCCAAAGCCAAATGGAAGAATTAGAAGGAAACTTGCAAAATTCTCACTCCTACTTAGAGGAAGATGAAGGCCAATATACTGTTGAAGAATCATTGTGTGTGAAGGGTGCACTGGGGAGCACGTTTTGGGCCCATGTATCACAAATAGGAAGGAGCCATCCTGGACAACTCTATATTTTTCAAGATAAAAGTCTGACACATTTTACTGTCCTGACATTGGTTAAATTAAGCCCACAGAAAATTAAATTCAATTATCCATAAAATAATTATACCAGTATTAAAACATACATAATTTTTTCAACATAAAAGTGAAAGCTCCAACTTGCCATCCTATCAGTAAAATCAATGGCCATATCATAGCTCACAGAACATCAATATTTACTGAAATATTCAAAGACAGACATGCAATAAATCAAATCAGTTTCCAATGGCCTTTCAGTAGTTCAATCATTTTAATAACATATTAAAATGAACTATTAAACAGCCGTGTATTTCAGACTGTCCTGTAGTTCCTTTCTAATCCATGTTGATTACCAAGATATTTGTGTCTAAATAGTCTCTAGCTCGCTAGTATAATTGGCTTACTCCTTCCTTCCCATTTTCTTCAGTGGTTCAACTATCCAGTGTTTGTAGCACTGAAAGTTAAGACTAGGGCAGTGAATTTATGATAGTACAAACACTGAACTGAAGTATGCTGTGTGATCCAGGTACTGCCTCCGTTTTCCCAGCTCCAAACTGGAGATAAAGATACTTTCCCCTCATTTGTAAAATACTTGATTTTGATGGATGAAAATCAACTTGTAACATCAAAGGGTTGTTATTAAGTATGCCTGTGGTGATTCTAAAGCTGTTTGAGGCAAGGGCTGTTTTCATGTTCAGTTTTGTATAGGGCTGATCATACTGTCAATGCTCAGCCCTGTACAAAAATCCATCTGGCAAGATTGTGTCTAAAACCTAAGGACCAGATTGTGCTCAGCATTATGTGGGAGTGCAAAGCAGAGGCCTCTGGGAGCCTTCCCTCTTCCCTTGTGCTTCTGACCAGAGACAAATGCATTCCCAGTCCTTGCCCTGAAAGTCTCTATCTCTGCAACAGCCAGTAAAACAGGCTTCCCCCGTGCAAGCAGCACATGCTTCATCCTCTCAGAGGATGGAGTAAGAGTTATGCTCTCTCTGCACTCCCAGGGGCATTGAGTCTGCCTCAAGGACATTGGGGTTGATTCACATTGTGCAGTGCTTTCATGCTGGGTGCAGTGTGTGGAAAGGGCCACCTCCAGTGTGAGTGAGCGGAGAATTCTGATTCAGCAGCACTTCGTATCCACTGCTCCAATAGGCACAAAGGCAGTGGAGAAACAAGCCCTGTTGTCTCCAGATTACCCAGGGCCGTAGAAACAAAGAACGTGGCCCCCTCCAAACGGTGGCCCCCTCCGAACATATGTCTGGGCGGGGCCCCTTACAATGCAGAAACTGGAATGCGGTATTTATTTTGCCACTTTTAGGGGCCCCCTTCCTTGCGGGGCCCCCTCCGGTCGGAGGGTACGGAGGGCGCTCGCTACGCCTCTGAGATTACCCCCGCCACAATGCAGCTGGAGGCTTCGTGGCCACAATCTGGCCTTTCTTTTGCTACGGCTTTGAGCACACCCCTCAGGACTGGATTTAAACGATTCTTATTCACTTCTTATCTCATTCTACATAGCTGTTCAAAATGGCATCAGAAAATCCTACATTCTTTTTGGACAATATACCTGGCGCTGCTGTGACACAAACCCAACCGCTGGAAATATTTTTCCTCTCTGCTGTAAACTCTCTTTCATAGGTTTCTTTTTTCCTCAGTTGATGAATTTCAAATAATCCCCATGATTTCTTGTCATGTTCTTTGAGGCCAGGTCTATGCTACAAACTTACATCGATATAACTACATTGTTCAAGAGTGTGAAAAACCCACACCCCAGATCAACATAGTTATACCGACCTAATCCCTGGTGTAGCTTCTCCCATTGACATAGCTACTGCCTCTCGCAGAGGTGGATTATCGACGCAGACAGAAGCTCTCCCGTCAGCGTAGCAGCGTCTTCACTGAAGCACTACAGCAGCACAGCTGCAGCACAGTACATGTAGATAAGCCCTAAGTGAATCCTCTCCTTTACTGACCATCAGTTTTTTCTATGTATAGTAAGAATCCCTCAAAACCACAATACAGTAAATGAAAGGCAGCAGAAAAGCTAAGCTGAACAGGACTCAGCTGCCTGTTGCCCCTTCACAACAGGATCATAGCTACTAAATTCTGTACGTACACACTAATTTGTTCTTCATGACATTAGTAATAAATCCATAATCTACCACTGTAGCCATGCTGCTACACCCCATGTGATCACTAGTGTAATTGGATGCAGTAAGAGAGATCATGGAGACTTCTGGGGGGAAAATCCAGTGAGAAACCAAAGAACTGTTGTCCATTTGGAAATTCACATTGTATACAGTGGTCTACACTCGTGCTTACTAATATGACAACCGGTACATATCAGACTCTCTTTAAGGCTGCGATCTCACTTTAGAGAATGCAGCATAAGGCATGATACACATGCTGGGCCGTGGGCTCTCTTCCACTATGCAGTATGGAGGGGAGTATTTGAAAGTAAAAAGGGTCAGACGAGACCTCCAGGAACAGAGAAAAGGGCAGTGGAGCTAATTAATCCTGCACTTGCAGGGAACTAGATTAGATGACCAAGGAGGGTCTTTTCCATCTTTTGATTCAGTGAATTCAAACCTTAAAGGTGCAGAGCACCCTGAACTTCCATTATAGTCAAAGGAGTTGAGGAAGGTGAGCACTTTACAGAATCAGGTCCAATTATTATAATATGGGTGCCCATTTTCCTCCAAGCCTGTGGTGTCATCCCTGCCTGAGCACCAGAGTTTGGGGGCTCCCGGGAATTACAGAAGATGGGTCTGGTTGTGGGAAGGAGGAGTCAAGGAGCATCTGCTTATTACACCATGATCTCTTCCAAAAGAAGGAGATATCTGCATGTAAGCGAGTGCTGCCAATCCCAGCATTTCCTTATATTCTGTGCCTGCACTACTGTTGGAGAGGAGAGTTCTGGGTAATATGAGAGCACAGTAAGAGAGCAGCACCGTAAGTCTAGTCTTGTGTGCAGAGATCGCTGGATCTGTGTGGAAGCAGCTTCCACTCTCTGCAGCTCCCCAGTGTCTGTGGTGATTTCAGGCTGTAATACTTTCCTCCCAGAGGGACTAAGAGGTTAGAAAGTCCATAAGGTAAAACCTCATGGAATGGCCCTCGGCCCACATCAAGTGGGTTTCCCCAGGGGCAGGCCCAGTCAGGAACCATGCTAATTTTCCAGTGAATTACATAGATGCCGCCGCTACTCACTTTCCTCCACTTAAGTAGGGTGACCAGATGTCCCGATTTTATAGGGACAGTCCCTCGTGGAGATGGGTTTTTTAGAGCACTGGGAGAGCTCGCTCCCAGCGCTGTGCCACAACTACACAAAAGTCACATTAAAGCGCTGCCACGGCAGCACTTTAACATTGCCAGTGTAGACAAGCCCCAAGAGAGTCCCATGCACTCGACGAAAGCAGAATATGCAGTAGAGACTTTTGTCTTCCAGCGAAAGCCCTTTGGAGCTAGTTCAATCCTTTCATCAGGATTTTGTGGAGTAACAAGCCCCAAGAGTAGGAATGCCATGCGTCTGACGAAGTGGGTATTCACCCAGGAAAGCTTATGCTCCAATACGTCTGTCAGTCTATAAGGTGCCACAGGACTCTTTGTCGCTTTTTACAGATCCAGACTTACACGGCTACCCCTCTGATACATGAATATCTAGTACAAATTCTTGGGGAAAACCCAGCAAAAAATCGCCACTGTGACGTTAATGTCAGAATCACAATGATCCATTCATATCATAGCCCATCTAAAGGATCTAAGGTCTAGAACAATGTTTGTGTAGAAAGACTTTTCTCCTTCTTGCCTCAAGGATACCAACCACACTCCTGCCTCAGTGCTCTGATGCATAAAAAGGGGTATTATTACTTGCCTACCTCACAAGAGAGATGTGAGGCTTAATCAATTAACTTTTGTGAAGTGACTTGAGATCCTTTGGTTGCAGGCTTTATATTAGCGCTAAGCACTCATAGAAATGTAGGACTGGAAGGGATCCCAAGAAGGCATCTGGTTCAATCCCCTGCACTGAGGCAGGATGAAGTATACCCTGGCACTTATGGCACTTTTAGTAACAGCCCAGGAGTGGAGGAGGGTTAAGTGCCCTGTTCCAAATCTCATCTCATCTCTATGCGTACAAGTAACTGAATGTACCCCTAACCAAGCCAGCCTCCCAAAGACATCTACAACTTCACTTCTCTTTTCACAGGGGAGCCTCCTTTCCCAGAAAGGTCCAAGTAGCTATCATCCTTCCCCATCCTCCCTCCATTCCCCAGCATCTCCTCTCCCCAGCACAGAGTCCATGAACCCCACCATGAAAAGTCTGCAACTTACCTTGGAAGTAGATGCCTGACTGGATTTGGAGGACCCTGGGGAGGGTTCTCGGATCCAGGGAATGGATGAATTTTGTCAGGTTTGATGCCATGGTCCGTGTCAAGGCAGCACATGCATTTGGTGTCTAAAGGCCAGCACCTCCTGGGTCGTCCCCCATGGTACTCACAGGAACAGAGTCTGGGACATCTCTCAGAAACTTTCTGTTGCTGGAGGAGGCGTGGGGAGGGGAGGTGAGGGAGGTGCTTCTCTTCTTTACTATGATCACCACTTCCTCCCACTTTGGCAGCTCGAGGGGTGGGGGGCAGGGAAGACTAGGGTGAGCAATACCACAAGAATGGGTATCAACTGACACTGCTAAGTTTATACTGCCTGGTGCTTGGGCATGTGACAATTTAGGCTAAATGAAGTGCTGCTTATGTTGGTTGCAGCTGGTACCAAATTTAATAGGAATGATGAGATCTTTCTGCAAAACTCAACCTAAAACAGGGAGTTATTGGTTTGGTACCTTGAGGCACTAACTAGTCATCTATCCACATGGAAAGGATTTTGTTTAATGTTAAACATATCTGAAGCGGGAAAAACAAATCACATTTATTTTTGGAGCACAAAATATAGTTTTACATTTGCTCTTTTCAGAAACCACAAACTCTCTCTGGAGATATAAAATGAAACTGTTTTGTTTTTTTGCTTTTGCTGCCTTTAGAGAGTTCCTGTGGTGTAGTGAGGAAGGTGCAGACAAAAATATGGGCCTCTTTGGATCTGTGCATGACAATTGAATTTAGTTATGCAGAATAGCCAAGATTTTCAAAAGCAACTAGAGACTTTGGGGCTCTCACTTGAGATACCTTTAAAAGGTCCGGATTTCAGAGGGTAGGTGCCTAGCACTTTCTGAAAAATCAGACTGTTTTAAGGAGTCTTAAATTGGGCACCCAAAATCACTAGTCACTTTTGAAAATCTTGGCCATTGTTCGTATATATGGGTTTGGCTCTGCTATTCGTAACAACGGTGAGTAGTGCCATTGATTTCAACAGCACTGCTCATAGGGTAAGGCATAAAGTCCATAAAATCATAGAGTCAATGGTAGGATTAGGGCTCTTCCTTGCTACACTGTTTCACACTCTGCAGTGACAACAGGTTCTTCCCTAAGTATCTATATAGGTCAGGATAAAGCAGCAAGGTAGCTGTGTAATCAGATGGGCGGGGGAGGGAATTGCCACCTACTTTAATTGTGACAGACTGACAATATCCTGAATGAACTTTATGGGATTAAGATAAACTTTACTAAATTAAATTAAACCCTATTGAATTAGAATTAACACTTTTGGGGTACACTTCTTAAAAATGCAATTGTGTGTTGTGGACCTGCAGGTACCTTCCCGGTTGGGAGGAGGATGCTAATAAACGTCCTCCATTAGCCTTAGAAGCCCCCCTGGAGAGATGTGCATATACTAGTTCAAACTGGATACTCCAGAGACCCAGAAACAAAGAAAAGACTTTTGGATAAAAAGCCTGAGTTTAGGCTGACTCAGGGCCTTCTTCCTGATCCAGCAAATGGACAGGACCCTGGTCCATGGAGGGCCCCAGTCCATAGGGTAGGGTTGGAAGGACAGGGTCTACTGAGGCCCCACAAGACTGAGGACTTGTTCTGAGCTGAAGTTCTGATGAACTTGTAAGCACCATCCAGCCTGAGTGAGGAGTGTTGAAAGCCTGCTCTTGCCAGAGCCCAGATGAGAGTCTGGCAAGTTTATTAGCTGTGTGTAGGTTCTTTAATTGGTTTTCAGTTGTTTTATCTAATGCTTTTTACCTTGTATCTAATCACTCCGTTATTACTCTTTGAAGAGAAAGCAAGCAGGTGTGCTTAGGCAGACTGTCTTTGCTGGGAAATACACAGTGAAAGCAGGGAACTGTACAGTCTGGACGTACCCCCGTGTCAGAAGGTGGAGAGATGTTTGTCTCCAGCCAAGAGAGAACAGCAGGGAGCTGGATGCCTGAGAGTGGGTGCCCTTGCCGGACCACTCAGGGGAAATACAGGTGCAGGTGCAGGTGCACTATGTAATGAGATGATGAGCATGATTGCCACCTGCTTTAATACTGGGGATGGGGGTTAATTTGTTTGCTTTTCTGACATGTTTTAAAATTGCCTTTTACGTGTATAATGTGTCTGAGCTGTCCCTTATAAATGGGAAATGTTTACAGCTCGTGTCCCCAAATCCCAGGGGCATGGGAGCCAGTTTTAGGGATAGGGTATCCACACCAGGCGCTGAGGATCTGATTCTGGGATGGGTAAGGGGTTGCTTTACAGAATGTAGCAGATGGTTTTGTGAGCAGCAAGGCAGCAGGTGGAGAGATCATCGTTAGCAGCTGGTAACACTGCAGGGTAGAGGCATGAAAAATAGGACTTTGGTTCTAGTAGTGACAGCTATTATTGTTGTTCTACCTAGAAAACAGATGCAGGCAATTATTTACTAGCTTTATAAAAATACCCTCTTCCCCCATTCCCTTCCAGCAACAGACACGGACACACACAAATTAAGCAAACATAATTAATCATGGGGAAAAAATAATGCGCATTCCCAATCACCTTTCAGTTCAGTCAGAAAGACACACAATAAAGGGTTCTGCCTCACAGGGTGCTGAGCAGTCTGGTCCCAGTCCTGCTATGTATTTCTAATAATAATACCAAGCTCTAATATGGCACTTTTTTCATCCATCCATTTCAATGCTCTTTACAAAGGAGGTTGGTAGCATTACCCCATTTTACAGATGGAGAACTGAGGCACAGGGAGGGGAAGTGACTTGCTTAAGGTCACACTGGAGGCCAGTTGCCAAGCTGGGAAAAGAACCCAAGTATCCAGAGTCCCGGCCCAGTGCTCTATCTACTAGGCAACGCTGCCTCCATTTGAGCAGTCCCAACAAGTTCAATGGGAATTTCTGTGTGCTTAGACATTAAGCATACATTTTGCTGGATCGGGGCCAGAGTGCTCAGCCCCTTGCAGGATTGAGCTCATAAAATTCAATAGTCTCCTAAGGATAGAATGAGTGTGGAAGTTGGCTGAATTCGTTGGGGTCAACCCAGGTCAGAGCTGAGGTGCTGCGGCAGCATTTTCCAACAGCCCCGCACTTGTCCATACTGTACCAGGTCTGTGGCTAAATGGCAGCTTTCATTCTTTAGGGTCACCTTTGACCATCACTAAATTGACATTTTTTTTTTTTATCTAAATTTCTTTTAGTTTCATCTGACATTGGAAGAGCAGATTTTCTGGAATGCAGCGCCATGATGAATATCTAATTAACAGCAATTTATGCAAAATTATAAATGGCTTAAAAGTCATTTAAACCTGAGTAACTAAATGTATAAAGCATAAAGTACATTTCTCTCAGGAACAAAATACAGTAAAAGCTGTGTTATCCGGCACTTTATCAACTGGAAAGTTCTATTAAGCGGCATTTCTGGTTCTCCCAATACAAATCTTCAATCTAGTAACCAGGACTAGTATACTGCCCGGGAGGTTATGCAATTGCACATTCTGCTCTCTACCTTTATGCAAAAGAGGCAGAAGACAAGTAAGCAAGCTGATATCAGGGATTTATTCAAAAAAGCAGCTTCCAGGGTGTGTCATAGGGTCATTACAGATTCAGCCCAATCTCCTACACCTTCTACATCTACAGTCAGGGGCGGCTCTATGTTTTTTGCCGCCCCACGCACAGCAGGCAGGCGGCTTTCGGCGGCGCACCTGCGGGGGGGGTCCGCCGGTGCCGTGCCATCGGCGTCCCCGCCGCTGAATTGTCGCCGAAGCCGTGGGACTGGCGGACCTCCCGCAGGCATGCTGCCAAAAGCCACCTGCCTGCTGCCCTCAGAGCGACCGGCAGTCCGCCCCCCGCGGCTTGCCGCCCCAGGCATGCGCTTGCTGCGCTGGTGCCTGGAGCCGCCCCGTCTACAGTGATTATTAATGTTGATAATGATGACCCTGAGGCACTGCAAGACCCTGAAGTGCCTTTTGAATCATCAAAGATTAAATTATGTTCAGTATAGTTTTAGTGTTAAGTGTATTTTTAGTGATCTGGGTATACGCCATGCGCTGCCCATAGTGATAGATAGTGTCATAAGATAACCTACTGTGTAGAAAACGTTACCTGTATATGCCTAAGTGCTTCAAGAAACCAACCACTCTGCAGTGCATTACCACTACTGGATTGGTGAGTACCTGTATACTATTTTATACTTGATTCATTTTATTGTATTCTAATTCTTTGAAGATTGGTATTCGATTGGTATGTTAACCAGAATTTTTGATTAACCGGCACCCTCCATTCCCCCAACATGTCAGATAACAAAGCTTTTACTGTACAACTGTCAGTTGCCATGACAAAAATTATATGTTTACACTCATCCAAATCAGCAATGCCACCCACAGTTCATGTATTAGCACAGGAATTCTAGTCTTACTAGCACATATCGTGGTAAAGTAGAGGTGCCTTTCTGTACTCTCTATAACTCTAGGGGAACTGTTTTCAGTTTGCTGTGTGGTGCAATGTGAAGAGAGTCATTTGCCATCTCTAAACAGTCACTCATTCCAAATTGTGCATCAAACAACTCTTTAGCCTCATCACCACAAATTACTGGTGAAGGATTCTTCAGGTTAGACGAGTGGTCCCCAAACTGTGGGCACCAAGGAACATTCGGGCATTCGAGGGGGGGGGGAGAATGTGGCAGGGCCCAGGCCAGCCCCCACAGAGGGCATGGAGGGAGTGCTACCCAGCCCTACTCTGCCCCGCTCCCAGCTCCACTCCACCCCTGCCCCCAGCTGCAGTTCTGGCCCCAACCACAGCCCCGCTCCTGGCCTCAGCCCCTGGTTCCTGGCCCAACCACAGGCCCGGGCCCAGCCGCAGCTCCTGGGAGGACATGGACTGGGTAAGGGGAGGGACATGGACAAAAAAGTTTGGGGACCACTGGTTTAGACCCTCTGCTTAGCAGAATATTGACTTGAGGGAATCTCTCCTTGCTATTCATTCAGGCTCCAGTGCTGAGAATAAGGAGTAATTGGGTGAAGTACAGGTAGATTATGAGAAAAGAGGCAAAATCCTCCCTC